TATGTGTCAAACATCTTCTACCAAGCATAGCTTACTTTAAAGTCCATAGGAAAACAAAATGTGAATCTATTTTTATCAAAGGAGTCCTACAGAATAAAAAGGTGAATCAACCTAGTTGGATCAAAACATCAACTTTAATAATCATTTCTCCAAATATTTACACACACGCAACTCTACATTGTTGAGTGACAAAGTAATCCCCTGCTCTGGGAGATGGCCTAAAAGTTAGTTGTTTTTGCCATACAATTTTATTTATCACTTAATAGTTAGCACGAGTAAAAGGCATACGTGACTGGCTTCCTATATTCACAATGTTTTGAATTTCTCAACTGCAGTAAGAAACCACTAGCATCCCCTTACAGTCACTGCACTCTCGAATAAACACCATCAAACTCAACCACACAGATATCTCTGCATAAGCAAAACCTAGATTATGTCCACCTAGCCAATTGCCTTAAACAGAACGAAGAACATAATGCTTCAATTACGAAGAACCCAAAGGTACCCACAAACTCTGGCAAATACTCAGAGAAACTACTAGCATCTATCAACTATGCAGTACGCTCCAATCCCAAACTAGTTGGGATAGACAATATGAAGACTCTGCAGAAACCCATGTGCACCATGTCTTTGCTCCAAAGAGAAAGAATATAACTCTAAGAGGAAGCCTAGTCACAATTGAGACATTAACTAACCATGGTTGATTGACAAAATTTTATGTAATGTACATATGTTATGCTGCTGCCAGCAAAAGCAGAATTTTGCGAAGGAAATTCAAATATATATACAAAAAGTAAACATACAAAGTCCAAGTTATTCAACTACTATATATACATAAAAAAAATAAAAATTGACCCTGTATATACAGAAAGGTTTTTTGATGAACCCCATTGTGGTACCTAGCTCCGCTCATGGTTGTGCATACCCTTATTTATTCGTAACAAATATGTGGTAAACTTTTTCCTAAATCCGTGACATACTCCTCTCTCTATGTAGACTCATTTCATTCCAATACTAGTAAGTTAATACACACAGATAAATTCACCTAATTTTTAATATATATTTTTTTGATAATCATGATGTCAGCCATTTTTAACACACCTCGACTAATTCCACGGATAGATCCCACCTCCCACTTGTAACAGACACGAGGTAACTATCCACCAAGGCTAGAACATATAGGAAGAAATCATCTATAGTACTTTATTTTTGTCTCTGATGGGATTCGTACCTAAGACCTCATGGTTCTCAACTCATTTCATTGACCATTAGGCCACATCCTTGGGTGCAAATTCACCCAAATTATAGTACTCATGGAAAGTTCAATATAGAAAACATACTCAAAACAAACATTAGGTGTAAAGTCTCTCTACAAGGTAGGGGTAATGTTTGCATCCTCTCTACCCATAACCCCATACCCCACTTGTGGGATTACACTGGTTGTACTCAAAACAATTGTGTAACTGGCATACCCTTACTTATTTGTAGAAAACATGAGGTATCTTCTTCCTAAATCCTTGACACACTCCCCCTCTCTCTATATGCAGGCTCATTTCATTCCAGTTTCAGATACTGTCTAGCATATTATACACAAAACTTTTCACCCAAATTACAGTACTCATAGCAAAATTCAACACAGGAAACATACTCGAATCAATCGTGTAACTGGAGTTCCACACTCATAGCACTTATCACGAGTCTCAGCCATGTTTTTACCACAAGACAAACAGAGAGTCAAATGCTTGCATGAGCTTCCATACAGATCCGAGGATGAACCACACCTGCTACATGAAGGTTTCAGAATCAAATCTATCGACATTACTGTCCCTGCAAATCCAAAAAAAGCTAAAAATCATTCAGTTCATCAGAATTAGGGTTCCGTATAAGCGATTCGAATTGGGGAAACTGACAAAATCGTTGAAAAATCACCGTTAATTACTGTGGATTTTGATTCAGTGGTTGAAGTTTTTTCAATTTGATTACTCGTTAAGGAGTGTTCGTTAGATCGAGAGGAGATTGAAGAGCGAATGAGAAATCAGTTGAATTGATTGAAGGGGAAAACGGGTATTTATAGATGGAATCACGCGAATGCGGAGAGATTTTCTGGTTATGGTATGATGAGCACCTCAAGTTTGTGAAATTGCTATTTAGGCACCACAATATTCATGTTGGAGATCGATTAGTTTGGATTTACGTTGGATAGAGACCATTCGAAGGTCGCTCACTATGACGATTTTTTCTATATCTGGAGTTCGTAATTGTGAATTCAAGTTAATATACATAAGTATTTTATAATAATATTTATATTAATTGATGTCTAGTCTTAAATTTTGAATAAAAAAAAGTAATATGTAATTAATGTTAAATATTAAACATAAAAATAGTAGAATATGTTTTACTCTTGATAGGCCAAAAGTATAATAAGGCAAGAATAATAACAACACAACATAACATGTACAATCTCACAAATTGCGATCCGGAAAGAGTAAGTTCACACTTTCTTTTGTCTTTCCTTGAAAAGTCATTCACAATCTTCTGTGAGTCCCTACATATGGTAGCAAACAGACCCTCGCCATTGTGATTATCATTCCAGGCCGCTTTAGTTGGCAAGGTTAAATGGTTTAAAATTCGGCCACCTATGAAAGAAAGGTTGACTTATATATTATTTCATTTATTACTTTTATAATATCAAGAAAAAATAATTATTTTATCTTTTAAAAATTTTAATGTCGTTGAAAAACTTGAAAACATTCTTTTCAGATACCTAAATAGTAAGAGTTGAGAATGAAAGGCATAAAACGCATTCGGCGAATGTGATTTATGAATAAATTATGTGTCTTCTTATTTATTGTTTAAATTACTATATTACCCCTTCGATTTAATTTTATTTGTCCATTATTTTAAATATATATTTATTAATTTCATTTATTACTTTTATAATATCAAAAAAAATATAATTATTTTATCTTTTAAAAAAACGTCATGTCGTTGAAAACTTGAAAACCCCTTCTCAGATACCTAAACAGAAAGAGCTGAGAATGAAAGGCATAAAACGCATTCAACAAATGCGATTTATGAGTAAAATTATGTGTCTTCTTATTTATTGTTGAAATTACTATATTACCCCTTCCGTTTAATTTTATTTGTCCACTATTTATAAAATATATTTATTTATTTCATTTATTACTTTCATAATATCAAGAAAAGATAAATATTTTATCGTTTAAAAAAACATCATGTCGTTGAAAACATGAAAAACCCTTCTCAGATACCTAAATAGAAAGAACTAAGAATGAAAAGCATAAAACGCATACAGGGAATGTGATTTATGATTAAAATTATGTGTCTTCTTATTTATTGTTGAAATTACTATATTACCCCTTCTATTTAATTTTATTTCTCTGTTATTATAAAAATATATTTTTTAATTTCATTTATTACTTTTATAATATCATGAAAAGATAATTATTTTATCTTTTAAAAAATCGTCATGTCGTTGAAAACTTGAAAAACCCTTCTCACATACCTAAATAGAAAGAGCTGAGAATGAAAGGCATAAAACGCATTCAACAAATGCGATAATGAGTAGAATTTTGTGTCTTCTTATTTATTGTTGAAATTCCTATATTACCCTTTTCGTTTAATTTTATTTCCCCACTATTTTAAAAATATATTTATTTATTTCATTTATTACTTTTAGAATATCAAGAAAAGATAATTATTTTATCAGTTCTATATTGTTTGGTAGGGTAATAGGACCGTTGCAAAGTTAATGTGTCTTTTTAAAAATTCAGGACAACTTAAATTGTGACTTTATGTCTTTTCTCTTTAGTTAATGCTACTAAGGGGGGGAAACAAAGAGTTGCATTGAAGATTACTAACAATGATAAAACTCATTCCTCGAATTCGATTTATGAACAATTTGAAATTTTTTCTGTAAAAACTATATGAGGACTTTCGTAATGAGTTAGGGAAGCATTACATATAGTCTTGTTGTTTTTTACATGCATATTTTCTCATTTACGAGCAAAATTATAGGAATTACCCGACTTTCGCCGATTTCGTGTACCCATGGATTTGACACCTTTGGAGCACCCCAAATGTTTTTCTGAAAAAACTATACGAGGACCTTCGTAATGAGTTGGAGAAGCATTACGTGTAGTCCCGTCGTTTTTCTCACGAGTAGGTGCCTTGGGACACTCTTCAATCACTTTACCACTCCAACTATGTTTTCTTTCATGCTTCGTTTTGTTGTTGCGTTGTTGCCTAGGAAAAACATCTGCATTCCTAGCTGTATTTGTAAAACAATAATCCAACATTTCCTCTTCCTCAACTTCCTCAGAGATGTCCTCATCATTTAGGTTAGCAACTTTATTTGGGACAAAGTATAACTATCACCAACTTGTAGTTGTTTGTACGTTAATAGGTGTAAGAGAGGTCAATTTTTCAATATTAGAACTCACCAAATGATCACTTAAGATTGCAGCAACATTTGTTGATGATGACAAACCTTGTCGGGGAGTTACTAACTTGAAACTACTAGGCACAAAAGCAGGAGTTGTTGGGCTCAATTTCTTTTGCATAAGAGAAAAAGTTGCTTATTCTTCCTTTTCATCTACTATATCTATCCACCTCCTAGTAATGTAAATATTATTGATAAGTGCATCAAAACTATTAAAACACAGGACATTCTCTATATTTTTTCGATCTAATTTTACCTCTTCTAAATTTTTTCATAACCAACATCTCACATGAACCATCTCAATCTCGCACATCTTATAAAATTATCCATAACTTACGTCTCAGATAAACCATTTCGACTTCACTTTTTCCTCAAGCGACGAAAAAGGAGGAATGCTCCTTTGAATGACAGGTGACAACCACCATTGATCCTACTTACTACTTCTCAACTCGCAATCCTGACCGTCCAATTCATTTTCTAAAAAAAATAAAAAAATCGTACTCCATTTTCTACCGTCATCTATAAATTCTCTTCTTAGCGTTCAGCACCATCGTCACTTCCTCTTCTACTCTGAACTCGAGCTCCCACACGTCGTCGTTTTTCACTCTTACTCCTCCTAATCGGCGTCGTCATGGCGTTGAAGTCGTTTGTTGAAGTTGAACCGGAATCTCACTTCCCTCTCGAGAACCTGCCGTACGGTGTATTCAAGCCTGAACCGGGTTCACTACCTCGACCGGGCGTCGCTATCGGAGAATATGTTTTGGACTTATCGGAGATTGCTTTCGCCGGTTTATTTGACGGTCCTTTGCTCAGTAACTCCGATTGTTTCAATCAGGTCTGTTCGTGTTCTATTGTGCTCTGTTTGGTTGTACGTTTAGAAATTTTCCTAATGCTAAGTTTAGTTTTAAGGTAATTTCGTTGATTTTTGTGCTATATTTTGTCCTATTGTCTCGACGGAAGTGAATAATTTTCCGACTGTTAAGTTCAGTTTTAGCTAGTTTTCATTGATTTATGTGTTGATTTTTGTCATGCATTGACAATAATTTTATTTTGCATTTATTTACTGTATTCGGAGTTATGACATAGGTCTGTTCGGTTTTCGTATTCATTCAGTTCTGAAATTTTTAGCAAGTGTGATATTATGTTCTTGTTTAGTTGTACGTTTAGAGAATTTCTTACTGTTAACTTCAAGTTTAACAGTAAGTGTGAAAAATTTGTGGTTGTCAATTCCGTTAGGTACTCATTTTCATTCAGTTCTGAAGATGTAGTCAGTGTCTATTGTGCTCTGGTTGGTTGTACATTTAGCAATTTTCCTACTGTTAAGTTCAGTTTTAAGGTAATGTGCGTTTACTTTTTTGCCCAGTATTGCCTATTGTTTGGATGGAAGTGTATACTTTTCTGGCAATCAAGCTCAATTTTAACTAATTTTCATTGATTTATGAGCTCTTTTTTTGTTATTTTCAACTGTTTGTTGTCTTATTTTTGTGGAAGTGTTACATCTTGTTTTGATTTATTGTGACTTGTGAGTGTTGTACTCTGCAATGTGTAAAGTATCCCTTACTTTTTTCTCGAGTTATATCCTCCTTATGACCCAAAAAAACAAAGAAAAAAGAAATCTATCTACTATATTGATGGCAGTCCACTAATTGGATTTCATCTCAAATAAAATGTCAGCCATTTTTTCAAGTTGTAATAGGACATTGCCTAACAATATAATTATGGTAAGCCACTGAGCCTCGTGTAATTGACACACTGGGTGCTGTGGATATTCTCTGCTATTGGCAAGGTTGAGAGACTGTGATAATCATAAGTTATTTATGCAATTCATTTGCAGCCTAACTTGAACAAGTTTGTTGGATTGGGACGACCTGCATGGAAGGAAGCTCGGGTGACATTGCAAAAGCTGTTATCAGGTATCCCTGCATGTTTGGATGGAGGTTATATCATCAAATCATTAGCATAAACCCTCACACTCGTTTGATACACATAAGAAAACCTAGATTTGAACCAGTAATTCAAACCACATTCTTCTTAGTCATTTTGGATTCATTTCCTATGTCACTTGAATGTTATTATAATCTAAAAGATGACAAGTTTATTCAATTAAAAACCTCCATCCAATCTATCCTGCAATTTCTGGTATTGGATTACCTGAGGTCCATCATTTTTTGGGCAACCTCCCAGGTTTTGGAATCAGATATTTGGGCGGGAATTTCATGAATTAATAAAAATGAGGTACACAAGGAGGGGGACTTAATACTATAATCCTCCTCTAAAGACGGAATACTTAAAACTTACTGTAATCCCATTCAGTTTGAATGTGGAGGGGATTTGATGAAAGTTGAAGCTGGATTGTTCTATTTTGTTCTTGTGCAGCCACAGAACCAACATTGCGTGACAATGCTGCTTTAAGACAGATAGCTCTTCTGCCTATGGTAAGACATGTTCCCTTGGAAATGTCATGTCTGTTAGTGAACTTGTGTTCCCTTTGAAATGTCATGTCTGTTAGTGAACTCGTGTTGTCTTAATTCTCGTGTTGTGTTGGTCAATTCTTCAGGAAAAGGTGCAAATGCTTCTACCTGTTGCGATTGGAGACTATACTGACTTCTTTGCATCAATGCACCATGCCAAGAATTGTGGGACTCTTTTTCGTGGCCCTGAAAATCCTATCAACCTTAATTGGTATGCTGTCAACACAACCACCTGTGAAAAGACAGGATATATTAGCTTTGACGATACATGCCACCCCGTGTGTGTGTGTGTGGGGGGGGGGGGCAGGACTTCCCAGTTTTCGGGTTTACTATAATCCTCCTCTAAAGACGGAATACTTAAAACTTACTGTAATCCCATTCAGTTTGAATGTGGAGGGGATTTGATGAAAGTTGAAGCTGGATTGTTCTATTTTGTTCTTGTGCAGCCACAGAACCAACATTGCGTGACAATGCTGCTTTAAGACAGATAGCTCTTCTGCCTATGGTAAGACATGTTCCCTTGGAAATGTCATGTCTGTTAGTGAACTTGTGTTCCCTTTGAAATGTCATGTCTGTTAGTGAACTCGTGTTGTCTTAATTCTCGTGTTGTGTTGGTCAATTCTTCAGGAAAAGGTGCAAATGCTTCTACCTGTTGCGATTGGAGACTATACTGACTTCTTTGCATCAATGCACCATGCCAAGAATTGTGGGACTCTTTTTCGTGGCCCTGAAAATCCTATCAACCTTAATTGGTATGCTGTCAACACAACCACCTGTGAAAAGACAGGATATATTAGCTTTGACGATACATGCCACCCCGTGTGTGTGTGTGTGGGGGGGGGGGGTCAGAACTTCCATATTTTCGCGTTCATATACATATATGCTTGTTCATGGACTCTGATCACCCTTTTCAGGTTCCATCTTCCTATTGCTTACCATGGGCGAGCATCATCAATTGTCGTTTCTGGAACAGATATCATTAGACCCAGGTGATCTCAAAAGTAGATTTTCCTGTTCTTTCTAGAGATCCTTATTAGTTTATTTGTGGGGGGAGGAGTTAGGAAGATAGCTATGTTGTGTCTTAAGATATATTTGAGGTGTTGGTGAATTTTTATGCGGTAATCACTCCTTTGGTAGAAGGGTCCCAATGCGCTAGCACCTAAGTGAATCTACATGGTTGGTTTTTAACACTGCCTGCTCTGTGGCATTTCATGTTATTTCAAACTTCTAGTTTTGTACCTGGTAGTGAAGCATTTTTATTGTTGTGCCAACTCATGACATGAAGTGCTTCTTTTTTACTAGATCAATTATGAAATTTGACACTTCGTTAAATTTCAAGTCTCGCACTAATGGTGCATGTTATATTCATATCGATAGCGTAAAAAGATTATGTGTGATCTGATTCGTCCTACTATTCCATTCATTTCAAGTAATTTTGGTATTTCTTTTCTTTATAATTCTTCTTTAAATTGTCTTCCAGAGGACAAGGTCATCCAACTGGTAATTCTGCGCCATATTTTGGACCTTCGAGAAAATTGGATTTTGAGTTGGAAATGGTGAGAATGTATTGCATGGAAGTGCTCTGTCTATTGTTGGTCCCAAACTCTCATATTCCTTGCTGAGTTGCTTATTAGTTCCATTTTTACACACTTTACTTGTTTTGCTTTAAGGCTGCTATAGTTGGCCCTGGTAATGAACTAGGAACAACAATCGACGTCAATGATGCTGCAAATCATATATTTGGACTTGTCTTGATGAATGATTGGAGTGGTATGCTCAAAACTATACTTGAATTTTTGAAGTTCTTATGGAATGATTCCCTGCTGATTAGAGACTATTTTAAACAGCAAGAGATATCCAGGCATGGGAGTATGTGCCTCTTGGTCCTTTTCTTGGAAAGAGTTTTGGTAAGAAATCCAGTTGATTTATTGCATGCATTTATGATTAACTGCTGCTGTTGCCTATAGGCATAATCTATTTTTTCAAGTATTCTAGTCATATTGCCTTGGGATAATCTCTTTTTTCAATTTTGATCTTGCAGGCACAACCATATCTCCTTGGATTGTGACTTTAGATGCCTTGGAACCCTTTGCTTGTGAGGGCCCAAAGCAGGTAGCTTGACTTCTAGCGCTTAAATCCCTATGCTCATCGCCAATGAAATTGATATTGAGCAGAACTTTTCTTTTCTTTCAATTGCAGAACCCTTCTCCATTGACATATCTTGTAGAGAAGACATCAAGAAACTATGACATTTCTTTGGAGGTATCTTCTGCTCCATGCTTTCCATGATAGGGTTTGATCTATCTAGCAGTTTCTTGACAATGTTTTATTTTCAAGGGAAAGGTCAAGGAATGCCGTTGATGTTTGTGATTTTTTTTAGATATACCCTCCGTTGACCTATCGTCTCATAGACCTCTCCACTGCTAAAATCGTCTCAACTATGCCCCTCACTAACAGATATAATTGGATCTTTTCAACTCTTCATGGGTATACTTGGACCACCACCAAAAAGAATTCCTACCAGAAAGTGGTGATGGAAGAAGAAGGGGTGGGAGTGGGTAGGTGGCAATGGGGGAGGGGGAGGGGGAGGGTAGAGGGAGAAGGGAGTAATGGGTGTGAAAAATATCTCCACCCTGTAAAGAAGGAATTTCTCCCACCGTATGTTGATTTACCAAGAAGAGGATAAAAGAACAAGAAATAATAGTATCTCCCTACCCGTGCTAATATCATCACTATTGTCGTGTAATCAAGTTTCATAGATCATCTGGGTAATGGTTGGACTTTTTTTTTATCAAGGTCCTCATTAAGCCTTCTGGACAAGCTGATTCATGTGTTGTGACAAGAAGCAACTTTAACCACTTGTAAGTATATTTTGCATTTGCCACTTACAATTTCACAGTTCTTAAGCTATCATTTTTTTCACCAGATTCATTATATATCTAGTTCTTTTTTTATTTTTGTAACCGGATATCTAGTGTTGTTAAAGCCTTCTTCAACATGCTGGCGTCAATTAGTTTGATGGTGAAGAACGAATATGATATAGTTCATATGACGGTGAATTGAATTGTCTGCCCCTAATACTCCTCCCTGTCCTTGACCTTGCTGGCTCCTCCTTTATTTTTTTTGTAAAGGAAACAAGATAGAAAATACTGAATTCTTTCAAGAACCTTTAGCAATTATCTTTTGGGGATTCTGGTTCTTCAAATGCTAAACAGATCCACGGTAATCAAGTGTGAAGGAGATATTTTGCTTTCATAAGTTTTTATTTTTATTTTACCATAGTAATGCTGAATGGCTTTCCTGTGATACAGATATTGGACAATTACTCAACAGCTGGCTCACCATACTATCAATGGCTGCAACCTAAGGCCTGGGGACATGTTTGGAACTGGAACTATCAGTGGACCAGTAAGATTTACTAGTCGGCTGCATGATGCCTCTAGAGTTGCTCAGTCCAATTTTCCTTGTCGTCTTGTTTTATTGACTTATCATCATGCTGTTTTTACTGATGACATAATTCGTCCATCCATCTCTACTTCTAGGAACCAGAATCTTATGGATGTTTGCTTGAATTAACATGGAATGGACAAAAGCCTTTGTCTTTAGATGGAACTACCCGTACATTCTTAGAAGATGGAGATGAAGTAGCTTTCTTTGGTTATTGTCAGGTTTGCATCTGGATGCCTTTTTCTTTTCTTACCAGTTCCGCACCTGTACCTCGTTGGCCTTATTGACGCTATACACATTCAATTACAAGTGCTCGGGGAAGATAACACAGGAATTTTCTCTCCAGTGTCTAAAAGAAACATAACTAGTTTTTCACCTAGTAGAGATTAAAGTGGAAAACCACCACATTATGTGGTGGTTCTTTATTTCTATATTTAAATTTTTTGATTTAAAAATAGCCTCTCTACCTTGTATGTCGTTGAAATGATTTTTGAAAATCTGCTTGGTGGAATTTGGTTTACTGTAATAGGATGATTACTTTCATTGTATCATCATCATTCGTTGCTTTTTGGGAGATTTGGTTGTCTAAGCTCTATTCCCGTGTTATCTATAATCTGTTAATTGTCTTTATTATACAAATGCTATCTGAAAAAAAGCTTGCAAAAGTTGTTGAACAATGAACATAGCCAATGTACCTCAAACAAATTTCTTGGTTAAAGTATGCTATTGTCGAGTTAATTGATTCTCGATGTGTCTGGTGACATTTCACATGAAGGAAATCAAAATTGACACCGTGATATTGAAGTCATTGGACCTTGTGTTTTGCAATTGCTCCCTCATCGAAGTGGTGCATTTGTTGTTATCCTTATGTTTGATTTCCGGATATTGTTGGTCTGATACTAGTTGATTTTCGATGTATTATCAGGGCAATGGATACAAAGTTGGTTTCGGAAGATGCTCAGGGAAGATTGTCCCGTCTCCACAATGAGTCTGAATGGTTACATTGTTCAGCCCATGAGCAATTTTGAAATGTATACAGCAATTCAAGGCTGCTTTGGTTTCTGATCAAAATACGTAAAGTAGTAGAGTCAGATTCGAGTTACAGTCTAGGCTGGGCCAAGTGTAAGACCGTTCTGTATTAGTTATACATTGTTGGACTGCAAACAAGAACCTATTTATGTCGAAATGTCAGACATTTTATAAAATGAAAATCGCCATTGTGTATCGTGTATGCAAATTTAACCTATAATAATCTTAAACGAGACTTGCTCGGAAAAATATTATCAACTCATGATACTTTGTATTAACATTTATTTTCGTTATTTGACTTTTAAGTGATGCCATTATATACAAAATTTAACACAGGAAATATATGAAAAGAAGCTTAGATTTTTATTTTTGGTCTTCCATTCTGAGCCTATTATCTGTACAGCAGATATGGATTCATATGTCATCTTCTAGTCGTATTTTTTTAAATTTCAGGGCCCGTACTCGAGATATCTTATTAAAGGTGGAGGAATCTCACCCATCCTATTACAATCCATGTTGGTAAAACTTAATAGCTTAAAGAAGTTGAATACTTTATGATGTATCTCAAATTTATGGAATTTGTTCAACAATAAGTGGACTCATAATTTAAAGATGATTTATGATGCAAGGTAACCTAAAGTTTTTAATGGAATTTTTTGGTTACATTTTAGTGTTCAAAATATGTAGATAAAGAATATGGTTGAGGTAGGCTTGACTCAAGAATTCTTAAGTAATACTATAAGATTTTGCTTTGCTTGCATGCAAAGAGCTCAATATAGACATAGTTGAAGACATATTAACACTTGGTGGGGCTTTAAAGTTTCTACACCTTAATTTTTTATATTTTGTGAATAATAAAGAAATATATGAATGTATGTAAGTGATAGAATTAGGCTACCAACTTGATAGTTAACCTTCCAATATTTTCATCTTGTCAAAATAAGATTTGACTATTTTACCCCTACCTTATGATATGTCAACTACTATTTTTTCCTTGAAAGGTCTGCAATGCCCTTGCCTCTTTTCTATCTAATATTAGTTCAATATATTTAATTTTCAATCTTCGGAATTAAGTTTATATTACTCTGATTAATTTTCCCATTAAGAAAATCTGAAAAACAAAATTAATTTGAATCGTGGAATTAAGGAAAAAATTGGAAACAAATTTTTATTTATAAATTTAATAAAAATTGACGGTATATAGAAGATTTACACTATTAAATTTGGTTTCAGCGCCTCGAAGATTCAATAACAATAATCTGCCACAATAACAGATTAAATACACTGACTATATAAAATGTATTTACTCTATCACTATATATAACTTAAATCGTAATAAGAATGAAGTTTCAAACTATACTTTAACATGAGAAACACTAACACAAAAAATAAAAATCAGATTAATGAGCAAAAAAATATTAATTGTCATGAGTTAATTTTAATAGAGCAATGCATTGAACCATCTTTAATTAATTGTAAAGCCTATATTAAAATATCGGTTTCTTATTTTGTTTAATTAAGGAAGCCTCAAGGTTATAAATGTAATAACATTAATTAATAGTTCATATGAACCATGCATATATTTATTGCTTATATATAAAACCAAAGATATGGTAACGTTTCATTTTCTATTCATTCCATCTTATATAAAATAAAAAAATTATAAAATCTTTCTTTGATACAAAGTTTTCTTTATTTATTTTATCATTTTAACAACAACAACAACACAATTATCATGGATTTTTTCATCATGAATAAAATTGTGAAGAAAAAAATGATGTTTGTACTTTTTTTCTTTTCATTTCTTGTTTTTAAAACTTTGGGTATTGAGAGAGAAGTTTCTATAGTTGAATCAATTTCTATGAGAGATGATGTGATAAAAATGGCTGGTTATGGAGAAGAAAAGCTTTCCACTGTTTTTATTCATGGAAAAATTGTTTGTCATGAGTATGATGATCATGGTTGTAACAATAATATTATCAAGGATGATAATTTTGAACTTGGTTCAACACCTATCCAAGGTATGTATGTTCTTATTCGTCGTTAATCTGTTGCTAAATAACTCACAGAGAAAACACATCTTTTATATTTGTTTAAGATATATCTGAATGTTTTTGATAATTTGTTGCATTATTCAGCTATATAATTATTCTGTCTCTTGAAAAAAATCTTTATATCCTCACAAGATAAGGGTAAGATTGCGTACACACCATCCTCTTTAGATTCCCACTTGATGAAATTTTACGGAATATGTTATATTGTTTTTCTTTCTTTTTTAGTTTTGAAGATGTGTTAAGAGATGTCTATAATTAAAGATAACTTAAGCATGTCTTATAGTGTAGATCCTTTATTTTTAACAATTCGATATTCGGAACTCATTGGTCCGATCAATTAATTCAAATTTGTGTCATGTAAACACAATTATAGGTTCTCTCTAATTGTTTGAAGCCAAACCATTATTTTTTAAAAATGAAAATCCAGTTTTACGTGGATTTTATAGCATGAGCTAGTTTATGTAGTTTTGACCAGTTAAATTGCAAATGAATAATAAGATGAAATTAAACATCCTAAGATATAGGGAAGTTAATTTGTGTTGTTAAGCCTAAAGTTAATTAATATTAACTTAAGTTTAATGTTAAACTTGATCCTTAAATGGAAATTAGGATCCATTAAATTTAGAATCGTTTCTAATTCTTGTAACAGTTACTATATGATATAGATCATTTATTTATTCAAAAAGAAAAAAGTTACAGAAAAGAGAAAAGAGAAAACAGAAAAAAAAAAGTATTTTTAAGAAAAAGTGGGGTTGAATATTAAATTATGAAAACTTGATGGACCTGTTTGTATATTAATAAAGATATGTTTGCTTTCATTGAACACCACCAAATTTCTGTTCTACCAAAATGATAGTGTTATTGGAACCAAAAGTTGGTAAATTAACATAAAATTAAAAGCTCACTAAATTCGTTGCATTTATTTGAAAATATGGGTCTAAATTTAATATAATTAAGTCCGAGTAATTTGGAATTGAGGTATAGTTGATTGATTCATATAGTAACATTTGAGTAATTTAAAATTGAGATATAGTTAATTGACTCATACAGTAAAATCCCAAGTAATTTGAAATTGAGGTCTAGTTGATTGATTCATATAGTAAAACACAACTGATGCACAACGCTTCAGCTATGCATGTGATTCAAAAAACAACTGGACCACAAGAGTCTATTGTAAGCAGTCTTATCCTGCATTTTTGCAAGAGGTTGTTTCCAAATTTGAACCCCTCACCTCCTGATCACATTTCAACAACTTTACTAGTTATGCCAAGAGACTGTTTCCGCAGCTCAAACCCGTGACCTCCTGGTCAAAACACAACAACTTTACTATTTACGCTAAGGCTCTTCTTCACTACTAATCTTACATATGACAAACATATTTCAGGTGCATCAGTAGGTGTATTCTGTGGATCAAGTGGAAAAACAAGAAGGTCATGGGCAAGAAACACTACAGATGAAGATGGAGATTTTCTTATTGATCTTCCTTCTCATCTTCATGCTATTCCAAACTTGGAAAAAACATGTCTTGTTAAAGTCCTTCATCTGCCAAGAAACACCATTTGTGAACATGCTTTTAGAGGAAAACACAAAGGACTCGAGCTAATTTCTATCGGTGGAGGAATCCGTACTTACACCACACAAACAATTCATCTGACCCCTAAAGTTACACAAAGGTGCAGAAAGAAAGTTGCTGTTATGTGATCAGGAGGCCAAAAATTCAGCACGTCCAACGACTCAAATCTGTTGGCGCTTTGATCAGTCACAAACATTGAGTCGTTGGATGAATCTTGAAACATAACCTGCTGGTATTAGCCCACAATTTGTTGTTTGCTTCCTCCCACGACGAGTTTATGTGTGTGTGTGTGTGTGTGTGTGTGTGAGAGAGAGAGAGAGAGAGAGAGATGTAAATATAAGGTTTCTTCATTCTTGTATGAATGATGTGTAACAGGCACATGTATTTCCACTGAGAATATTAAAAGTAGCCTTTCATAGCCACACCAGATGCACAAACTTTGAATATATTAAAGTAACAGCAAAAATTGTATTCACTACAGAATCAATAACTAAAATCTGGGGTGCATAAATGTAGCAATCATTCACACAATCCACAAAAAACTAAAAGACGCGCTAAAAGAAGTTAAGGACAATGTGATCCTGGGATTCAACAGCTTATCAGACAAAAGAAAAACTATCTAGGAGAATGTTCCAAAAGAAACCTTTGTCTATTCCGATGACATGATATCCTCTCCTAGGGATAACTAATAAGTTACTCTATGAACTCTCCTGAGCTTTCTTCTCAGCTCCAGAAATGATATACTGAGCAACATCGGCACAACATTTAAGCTTGTCTGCCTCTTCGTCAGGTATCTCAATCGAGAATTCTTGTTCAAATGCCATGACAAGTTCCACTCTATCTAAGCTGTCTAGGCTCAAGTCCTTCTGGAAATCAGCACTCTCAGTGACCTATAAAAAGATTTAGGATTCAGCTGTAATATCCACTATTTGACTGGTCTTTTGCCACAATATGTGTTAAATTGATATAGACCATCAGCAGAGACAAATCCAGAATTTAACCGGTTCAACATTTAAGGTTCTTAGCATTGAATCATTACTCCCTCCATTTCAATTTGTTTGTCTAGTTTTGACTTGGCATGGAGTTTAAGAAAGTAAAGAAGACTTTTGAATCTCGTGGTCTTAAACTAAAGATACGTTGTATGTACCAAAATGTCTTTTAATCTTGTGGTCTTAAACATGCCATGTGGAAAACTGGAATTAACGAGTTGCCAAAATAGGGAAAAAGGCATTTGTAAGACAAACAAATTGAACAGAGGGAGTACTTATTTTGTTGCAGTTTTAGTAATCTTTACACATAAACTTATGCTCCGTGTTGGAAGTACAAAAAATGGATGAATCATACCTTGGTTGCATCAATCTTGTCAAATTTCTTCACCAAGTTAAGCACTTGTTCCTTTATCTGATCCTGATCAGTGGAACCAGAATTGCTACAGGTGCGTATTTGCAAATTGAGTATATTTAACGCACTCCGGCCTTCAGCTTGAGATAATGATACTTGCAATGGGACCCTAACCCGCACATACTTCAGAATAGATGATCTCAAGCTTTGCATTTTGAACCTACAATAAGTCGTCGATGTATTAGCATGTGCAAAAGCAGTTTAAAGAGGTAGAAGATGCAGAGAAAACAAGGCAAAGAGAAGTAGAAGGTCCTAAAGATAAGGCAATCATGTACTAAAAGCAAGATAAGCCATTTTTGTCCCACATTTCCTGTTTCATATCTATGTATTGGAAGATTCACCAAGATAAGTTGGTCAAGTGAATAGAGAATCTGCTAAATCTTAATAGCCATTACATAATTATAAGTGAAAAAATAGAGGCAGTAATTCTATGACATGCAAAACTGTCAGCAAGTTTGTTTAACAGGTACGTACTTGAATCAAATTTCTGAACAGGAGAAGCAACCTAAATTAGCACCCTTGACATACAGCCTATAATCACATGTAGTATTCTAATTTATATTAAAGCGAGCATGCTTAATTTCCACAGCCAATGCTCACGTGTCTACTGTATTGTAACACTTAACAGGCTTTTTTTCCACAAATATATTATCTATCATATGAGCAAAAGTCTTGCTACTTGTTTCAAACTTGAATGCCTAATGAGATTTTTACTGCTGAAAATGTAATTCCCTTACTTGCTCCAGGAAATGATGTCGTTCTTGCCTTCAGTGGTAAAAGCAACGTGTACTATACGGGCTCACGAGAACCAGTAGCTTCTTCCACTCCACAGACCCTATATACTGTATGTATTAAGAAATCCACCAATTATCTATAAATGATTGACTATGAACCTAGTTATTATTATTATTATTGTATATTTACTTCACATTGTGGGAACCCATAAAATTTGAATCATAGATCCGCTTTTGCTGACAATGAATGTCCTAACCCCTTAATATTCCAACTTTCACATCCCACATCCCACAACCCATTAAACTAATCTCAAACTTGCCTATGAATCAGATGAAAAATTCAGAACTATAAACGAGACCGTATAAGCCTAGCCAGTGGTCATGGTAGAAGTGGCTATGGTAAAAGTGCTTTCCAATCCGTCCCATCGTCCCATCCTCCTAACTATATATTGCGAGGAGCTTTACAAAGCCATTCGTGGTCTATTTATATATACCGAAACTAATTGCCTAAAAGAAAAGCAGCATAATGCTAAGGAAAACAAGTGAAACTGCTACTCAGTCCATAACCACTACATAAGTTATGAGGATTATTTATCAGATTATACATCAACTGCCAAGCTCCAATTTTAATAGGGTATCAAAATCATCTTGTGATGCTTTCAAAATCCATATAAAAGAACCAACGTCAAAATGACAACTTCCTATATTTAGAAACAATTTAACTTAAAATGATAGCCATACAAATGTCTATGAATTGTTATAGAGCATAAGTTTTAGAAGTGTTTCTTTCTTAAGCTCCATACACAGTCAAACACCGACACATAAAATGGGAACGGAGGGAGCATAAAAAATGATAACTTTCATAAGTCATAAAACCCATTGAAAAAAAAAAACAACTCAAAATGTTAACTTTATAACACCTATTACATACCAAAGTACCAAACTCTAAATGTTTATTTGAATAACACCCATTAAAGATCACAACTTGAAGTACTGATTCACACAAATACCTATGAATTGTTATACAATATATCTATATAAGTTTGATAAGTGTTCCTTTCTTAAATTCCATGCACAGTCAAACCCCATCACATAAATTGGGAACAAGGGAGCATCAAAAACCAAAGAACCAAAACACCCATTGGCACAAAGCATTCCACATTAGCAAGGTCCGTGGAAGGGCCCCGCACCCCAAGGGGTGTGAGGTACACGGTCTACTAACGGTAGCATTAGTAACTGCTTTCACAGCTCGAACCCGTGACTATAGGTCACATGTAGACAACTTTATTGTTACTCCAAGACTCCCCTTCACACCCATTAATAAAAATACTCAAAAATGTTAACTTTATTACACCCATTAACAAAAATACTCAAAAATGTTAACTTTATACCACCCATTAACAAAAAAACTCAAAAATCTTAACTTTATAACACCCATTATATCCCAAAGCACCAAACTCCATATGTTTATTTCTACAACACCCATTAAATATTATAACTTGAAGTAATGATGCACCTTTTCTTTTAACTTGTTAGGCAGAATGATAAATGATATATAGATAAATATATGGAGACTAACAAGAAACAAAATAGCTGAGAAATAGCAAGAAACTTACCAATTTTACTTTGTTTTCTCAGATTCTTTATGAACTGTTTGCTTGAGATTACTATCTGTTTGATGAATTGCCTCAAAGAACTGAAATTAGCAGTGATAGTTCTAGGCCTGGATAATGGAAAAATATGGGCCTCAGGTACATAACTTGGGCCAAATCCAATTGGGATGGTACATAGTTGGGCTATCACGGAGTATAACCGTCCATCAAAATAATAGCAAATAATATAAAGGGAAAATTGTATATAATAACAAACTATTAATTCAAATTAAATGCTATAAATATAGTTTGATTTAATTGTACCTCATAGCAAACTGTTTCTATTTCACCTCTCTCTTGGTGAATCTCGCTCGCCACTCTCGTTCTCTCCCTCGCCTCTCTCGTTTTTTATACAAACGCAAGTGTATAAAGTGCGTTTGTGTTTGTATAAAGCGAGAGAAAATTGTATATATACATCTACTATTAATTCAAATTAAATGCTATAAATATAGTTTGATTTAATTGTACCTCATAGCAAACTGTTGCTATTTCACCTCTCTCCTGGTGAATCTCGCTTGCCACTCTCGTTCTCT